AGTTATTGGGTATCTCTGGTGATGTGGTTCGAACAATGATGGAACCATATCTTGGTAAGGGGCATATGTTATTTACTGATAACTGGTACACAAACCCCTTACTCAGTGATTTCTTGCAAGTGAACTTGACAGACGTGTGTGGCACAGTGCGTGGTAATCGTAAACATATGCCAGGGTTCGACGCTGGCACTCGCAGAGGTGAGGTGCAAGCCTTTGCTGCCAATGACATCATGGCATTTCGGTGGCATGACAAACGTGATGTCACATTGTTGACATCAGTTCACCCAAACGAAATGGCACACAGTGGCAGGCACAACAGAGAGACCAATGAACCCATTCTAAAGCCTGAAGCTGCCATGGACTACAACCTCAATATGCGCTTAGTGGACAAATGTGACATGCAGTTTGGGTTTGCAGATTGTGTACGCAAGAGTTATAAGTGGTATATAAAACTTTTTTTCCATCTTGTTGATATCTCTATGCTAAATGCTTATAACATATACAAGTTATAAGCATTTATAACTTGTAAGTAAGGGAGAAAAAGTTAGCATATGAGAAGTTTTTACAAAGTAGAAGTGATGCAAGGAGGGAAGAGTATAGGGAGAAAAAGAGAGAGGTTAAGAGAGTGGTGAAGCAATGTAAAAAGAGAGCAAATGAGAGAGTGGGTGAGATGTTATCAACAAATTTTGTTGAAAATAAGAAAAAGTTTTGGAGTGAGATTAACAAGTTAAGGAAGCCTAGAGAACAAATGGATTTGTCAGTTAAAAATAGAAGAGGAGAGTTATTAAATGGAGAGTTAGAGGTATTGGGAAGATGGAGGGAATATTTTGAGGAATTGTTAAATGTTGATGAAGATAGGGAAGCTGTGATTTCGTGCATAGGGCAAGGAGGAATAACATCTTGTAGGAGTGAGGAAGAGCCAGTTTGTGAGTGGGGGGGGAAGTTCATGAGGCAGTAGGTAAAATGAAAGGGGGTAAGGCAGCCGGGATTGATGGGATAAAGATAGAAATGTTAAAAGCACGTGGGGATATAGTTTTGGAGTGGTTGGTGCAATTATTTAATAAATGTATGGAAGAGGGTAAGGTACCTAGGGATTGGCAGAGAGCATGCATAGTTCCTTTGTATAAAGGCAAAGGGGACAAAAGAGAGTGCAAAAATTATAGGGGGATAAGTCTGTTGAGTATACCTGGTAAAGTGTATGGTAGAGTTATTATTGAAAGAATTAAGAGTAAGATGGAGAATAGGATAGCAGATGAACAAGGAGGCTTTAGGAAAGGTAGGGGGTGTGTGGACCAGGTGTTTACAGTGAAACATATGTAGGTCTTTGTGGCATTTATGGATTTGGAAAAGGCGTATGACAGGGTGGATAGGGGGCAATGTGGCAGATGTTTGCAGGTGTATGGTGTAGGAGGTAGGTTACTGAAAGCAGTGAAGAGTTTTTACGAGGATAGTGAGGCTCAAGTTAGAGTATGTAGGAAAGAGGGAAATTATTTCCCAGTAAAAGTAGGCCTTAGACAAGGATGTGTGATGTCACCGTGGTTGTTTAATATATTTGTAGATGGGGTTGTAAGAGAAGTAAATGGGAGGGTCTTGGCAAGAGGCGTGGAGTTAAAAGATAAAGAATCACACACAAAGTGGGAGTTGTCACAGTTGCTCTTTGCTGATGACACTGTGCTCTTGGGAGATTCTGAAGAGAAGTTGCAGAGATTGGTGGAGGAATTTGGTAGGGTGTGCAAAAGAAGAAAATTAAAAGTGAATACAGGAAAGAGTAAGGTTATGAGGATAACAAAAAGATTAGGTGATGAAAGATTGGATATCATATTGGAGGGAGAGAGTATGGAGGAGGTGAATGTATTCAGATATTTGGGAGTGGACGTGTCAGCGGATGGGTCTATGAAAGATGAGGTGAATCATAGAATTGATGAGGGGAAAAGGGTGAGTGGTGCACTTAGGAGTCTGTGGAGACAAAGAACTTTGCCCTTGGAGGCAAAGAGGGGAATGTATGAGAGTATAGTTTTACCAATGCTCTTATATGGGTGTGAAGCATGGGTGATGAATGTTGCAGCGAGGAGAAGGCTGGAGGCAGTGGAGATGTCATGTCTGAGGGCAATGTGTGGTGTGAATATAATGCAGAGAATTCGTAGTTTGGAAGTTAGGAGGAGGTGCAGGATTACCAAAACTGTTGTCCAGAGGGCTGAGGAAGGGTTGTTGAGGTGGTTCGGACATGTAGAGAGAATGGAGCGAAACAGAGTGACTTCAAGAGTGTATCAGTCTGTAGTGGAAGGAAGGCGGGGTAGGGGTCAGCCTAGGAAAGGTTGGAGGGAGGGGGTAAAGGAAATTTTGTGTGTGAGGGGCTTGGACTTCCAGCAGGCATGCGTGAGCGTGTTTGATAGGAGTGAATGGAGACAAATGTTTTTTAATACTTGACCTGCTGTTGGAGTGTGAGCAAAGTAACATTTATGAAGGGGTTCAGGGAAACCGGCAGGCTGGACTTGAGTCCTGGAGATGGGAAGTACAGTGCCTGCACTCTGAAGGAGGGATGTTAATGTTGCAGTTTAAAAACTGTAGTGTAAAGCACCCTTCTGGCAAGACAGTGATGGAATGAATGATGGTGAAAGTTTTTCTTTTTCGGGCCACCCTGCCTTGGTGGGAATCGGCCAGTGTGATAAAAAAAAAAAAAAGTTGAAGACCAACAAAACACCAAAATATGGTGAATTTTGTTTGTCACTAATCAGACAATAATCGCAAAGTACCAAGGAGCAACACCTGCAATAGACCAGTGCCCACGAAATTACCAACACACGCCATCTCGTTTCAGGCCTGGTGATCACTACCCCATACATCTGCCTCCTACTACTGCCAAGAAAAATGCTCAGAAGAGGTGTTATGTATGTACACATACCACAAAATGCCCACAAACACACAGAGACACTCGTTTTATGCATGAGGAGTGGCCCGGTGGCCTGGTGGCTAAAGCTCCCGCTTCACACACGGAGGGCCCGGGTTCGATTCCCGGCGGGTGGAAACATTTCGACACGTTTCCTTACACTATTGTCCTGTTCACCTAGCAGCGAATAGGTACCTGGGTGTTAGTCGACTGGTGTGGGTCGCATCCTGGGGGACAAGATTGAGGACCCCAATGGAAATAAGTTAGACAGTCCTCGATGACGCACTGACTTTCTTGGGTTATCCTGGGTGGCTAACCCTCCGGGGTTAAAAATCCGAACGAAATCTTATTTTATCTTATCTTAAGTGCCCCTCTGCATATACCCATGTTTCAAAGAGTTCCACACGCTGCAGCAGTTCTAGGAACGTGTTCAGTGACTGTACATATGTATATATATTATGGAACAATAGTAATAAACATTGTTTTGTATTGTTTGTTTGTGCAAACAAAGTGTATACACAAACTAATAGTGATAAAGTTTCTGTTATTGTGTTGTAAACAATGAGTGTATATTTGAACAATGCACCTTACATTGGTCTCACAGGCAACATAAGTTACTTGGAAAAGAAAAATATTGAAAAATGCAAGAAACTTTTGAATTAGAGTAAATAAAAGAATACCGGGTGGGCGGCAGTCACCGCTGTTGCCGTATGCACGTCACTTTCTGCAAACTTTGCGGCTCTATATTTCGGTAAGTACTGATGGCAAAAAAAATTTTTTAGGCTTAAAACACTCAGAAAAATATTCCTAACATTTTCATAAGAAAAAATAATTGTTTTTTTTCGAATATTTTGCAACGTAGAATGACAGTTTCAGAAAGGGGCCTGCGACAGTCAAAGGGTTAAAAGAAGAAGGGAAGTAACCCCGGAAAAGGGCTTGACACCTCAAGTCCTAATAGAAGGGGATTCCCCTTCTAAACACTAACACCATCCACAGTCTCCCCTCCTCCCATCCCATCAATCATCACCAGATCTTCAATAAAGGTAAGTGTCATGTAATTGTACATGTCTTCTTCAGTTTGTGTGTATTAAAATTAATATTTCATGTGGTAAAATTTTTTTTTTTTCAATACTTTTGGGTGTCTTGCACGGATTAATTTGATTTCCATTATTTCTTATGGGGAAAATTAACTCGACTAATGATAATTTCGATTAACGATGAGCTCTCAGGAACGGATTAATATCGTTGGTCGAGGGTCCACTGTATTTTATTCATCCTAGTGCATATATCATGTTTGTGTTATTAATATTGTTTATTATGTCATATTAGATGAATTATGATAGATAAATAAGCCGTACAGTTGATATTAGGGAAATTATTGAAGTATTTTGTCATGCCTGGAATTCCACTGGAACGGATTAATTCCATTAAATCCAGATGCGAGCAAGGTCAAAGAACAGATTAAACTCATAAGTAGTGGTTCCACTGTACATATAGTACTTAAATGAGTAATGAAATAGATAAATAAACATTTAACTACCTCAACCACTGCCTCAACCAATGCCTCAACCACTACCTCAACCAATGCCTCAATCACTACCTCAACCACTGCCTCAACGACTGCGGTGCACTGCCTCGTATTTTTGTACAATTTCTTTCTTCACTTCTATGGTGTTTCTCACTTTCTTTACCAAAGGGGTGTCACTAGGAAGTTTCTTTGGGCCCATGGTGGCTTATTTCACAGTCACAGTCAATAAACAAGCACTAAACACAATGAATTTATTGTGAAATGTTTGGATGAGCACCCAAGGTAATGTTCACGCTAGGATAAACACAGCTAGACTTGCTGACAACGCCTGTGTGGGCAGGCGCACAGGCATGGGCAGGCAGACAGGTCAGGTACGCCAGCTGAAACATGGGGCACAGGCTGAAACTCGGGACAAAATTAAGCCGAGAAAAGTGGTTGAAACTCGAAGCAGCCGATACTCGGGGTACCACTGTAAATGTTATTTTAAATGTTTTTTTTTTTTTTAAATTTTAATTTATCTGTTGTATACTATACTGCACTAGAAATTTATACTCTTAACTACATACATTATAACCTTTTCAACAGAGACTGTCTGAGCCTAAGCTGAAATCACTTCTCTCAGAACTTAAGGTACAAGATAAAGAAGAAATGACGTTGAAAAAGCTCAAAACGGATGGAGCCGACAAGGAGGGACTTAAGGAAGCAGAATTACGAAAGAAACTAAGAGGTTGGCTAAGAACTTCATTTGCTGATGTATATGCTTTATTTATAAATTGCCACATATTACCTGGAGTTTACCTGGAGAGAGTTCCGGGGGTCAATGCCCCCTATATGAGACTTGATGTGTATCAGTTTTTCTGAGACTAGAATTTTTGTATACTGATAAAACATTGAAAATAACATTTTGCTACTCTGTACTCTAATAAATAAGTGTGGGAGTAAGGATTAAATGAATACTGTACTGTTGAACCCTAGGATTCAGGTGTTTTTAAATCTTCGATTAGTTTATCCAAAGTTTTAATTGAAGTGCATTATGAATTTAATCTTGATCATTCACGATTTTTGTTTGAGTTTCATCACGAAATAGGAAATCTGAAGGAGAATCACGTTTAGTACAGTGCTCTATTTCATTTACTATGCCAGTAATATGTACAATACAGCTTCTCCTCACTTAACGATTGAGTTTCGTTCCAAAGAATAAGTTGGTAAGCGGTTTGGTCATTAATCCTTTGACTGTTGAGACCTCAAAGCCTGAAATGTTTTTGTTGCAAAATATTCCAAAAAAATATTTTTTCTTATGAAATGACAATCTTTTCCCGATGAAAATGACACCAAAAATCTGAAATTTGATGGAAAACTTACATAATTATGCTCTTGCGAAGTTAGTGATCTCGGCGATATATACGCATTGGCTATTTTGCCAGCTTTGAGCCGTATTTTCAGCCAATTCCATTGTTCCAGTTGACCAAACTCATAGCTGTTTCTTTAGAACTCCATTTGTTCTATCCATTGAGGACAAGAAACTGCCCATTTACTGATTTCAACTACCCAATAAAGTGGTCAGAAATTGGCAATTTGGCCAATTTCACACAAAATAAAGAGAGATGCCAACTTCAAAATAGGGTCCAGAATAAGCAATGCAGACATTCCTGACACTAAAATAACATTTTCTCTGTTCATTAGTCACGTCTCCAGGCCCCTCTTGTATTACTCTTGCTTTTTATTTTGAATTTTTATTCACACAAAAAATATAAGATTTACTGTTATGCAGACTACTGCATTATTGTAATAATTGTGTAAATAATGGTGACCCATTCATGACTGCGTATTAGAATGGCTAGTTGGACACTTATTGGACAGTGACATCATTTGTTTACTCTTGAACATCGGAAAAAATCGAACATTTCCTGCTACTTTAAGCTCAATTTCAAGGTATTTTTCTTCACGAAACCAATCAAAATCATCTGTATTTCTGTAACATGTCTTCCATTCTGTCAAATGAGACCAAGAAAACGAGAATACAACCATAAATACTATACGAAAACACGCCTCAAATTTGACGTTTTAATCCAAAAACACGGTTGGAGTTTTTTTCTTTTTCTCATTATGCACTGTGTGCTGCTGGGTTTTTTTTTATACTGTGCACACTGACCACACAGACCCATTCTCTCACATGTGGGCCTACCAGCTTTCTCCCACTTGATTTGAAGCTGCTAGAATTTCGGCATATTAATACGTCTACACTGGCTTGTAAGACATACAGTGGAACCTCAAAAATCGAACGTATCACATATCGAATGTTTCGAAAATAGGACCATTTTTTCGGACAAACTGTGTCCCTATTATCGAACCCGCCCCTATTTTCGGACCGCCGGGTACGGGACCTGTCTGCCGCCCACTGTCCGCGTCCCCGCGCAGGTGCCATGAGCAGTCTAGCTTTGTTTATGCTTAAGTGAACACTAACCTGCGCTCTCATTCACTCATTTTACGATTATTTCGTTGTGTTTAGTGCTTGTGGGACTGTGAAATAAGCTGCCATGGGCCTAAAGAAACTTGCTAGTGGTACCCCTGTGGTAAAGAAAGTGAGAAACACCATAGATGTGAAGAAGGAAATAATACAGAAGTATGAGAATGGTGCGAGACTTGTTGAGCTTGCCAGGATGTATGGGAAAAAACAAATCGAACATCGGTTCTATCCTGTCAAAGAAAGAACAAATCAAGGAAGCTGATGTTGTGAAAGGTGTTAATATAGGGAGTGGATGAGGTGCTTTCTTCAAAGATTAAGGAGATTTGTGCCAAGTGGAATGATGTCCAAATGTTTGTGCAGAAGTACCACCCTGAGCAAGCTGAAACAAGCCATCTTTGCAACAAGTTCAGTGACAGAACCATGTCCCATTTTAGGGAAATGTTAAAGAGCCGCCAGAAACAGAGGACTGTGGACAATTATTTTGTGAGACAGGGGTCCAGTGACTCTCAAACTGGTCCTAGTGGCATTAAAAGACAGAGAAGGAAAGTAACCCCAGAGAGGGCTTTACCTGAAGTCCTCATGGAGGGGGATTCTCCTTCCAAACACTAACCCCAACTCCCTCTCTCCTCCTCCCTATCTTCCAGATGCCATCACCAATCTTCAATAAAGGTAAGTAAAAATGTTATTTTATGTGTATTACTATACGTAATTAAAAACTATAGTATTTGTTGTATGTAAAACTGTAATTAATCTCTATAAAATGTATTTTCTGTGTGAATATTTTTGGGTTTCTGGAATGGATTAATTTTATTTCCATTACAGTGGACCCCCGGTTAACAAACTTTTTTCATTCCAGTAGTATGTTCAGGTGCCAGTACTGACCGAATTTTTTCCCATAAGGAATATTGTGAAGTAGATTAGTCCATTTCAGACCACCAAACATACACGTACAAATGCACTTACATAAATACACTTACATAATTGGTCGCATTTGGAGGTGATCGTTAAGCGGGGGTCCACTGTATTTCTTATGGGAAATATTGCTTTGAATTTCAGACTTTTCAAATTTAGAACTAGCTCCTGGAACGGATTAAGTTCGATTTTTGAGGTTCTACTGTATTTATATGATACTGACAGTCAAAGGGTTAAGCAAGGAGCATACTATACTGGTAGTGAGTTTGTGTCAACCATCTTTAGATATTTCTTTAATGTCATCTTTGTACCATTTATAACATTTCTAGTACAGTGGTCCCTCGCTTTTCGCAGTTCTCGGCAATCGTAAATTTCGCCAAATCATAGGGGTATTTTCGTATAAACATGGACTCTCTTTTCATAGGTTGACTTGCGAATAGTAGTTCGTCCGGGACGCGTACGCACAGTGTGAGCCAAGGCGGCCTCCCTACCCAGCCAGTCTGGCATTGTTTACCAGTGAGTGAAGGTCCCCTCAAGTGCTCCTACGAAATATTTCATAATATTCCACTCATTTTAGTGCTTTCAAGTACTAAATAAGCTACCATGGCTCCAAAGAAAGCTCCTAGTGCCAAGCCTGTGGTAAAGAAGGTGAGAAATATGTACAGTGACAGTCTTGGGCCATTTTAGGGAAGTGTTAAAGAGACGCCAGAAACAGAGCTCTCTCCACAGTTACTTCGCGAGACAGGACTAGAGTGACTCTCAAGGTGGTCCTAGTGGCATTAAGAAACAGAGAAGAGAAGCAACCCCAGAGAAGCAATTGGTACCTGAGGTGTTGCTGGAAGGGGATTCCCCTTCCAAACTGTAAACAATCCAATCTCTCTCCCCCTCCTCCAGTCTCCCATACACTAAGAAGAATCTCCAATAAAGGTAAGTGTTATGCTATTAATGTTTCATTCATCATTTCCCATTGTATTGTTTATGTACTACATGTATATTTCATGTAAAAAAAATTTTTGTTTTAATACTTCTGGGTATCAGGAACGGATTAATTGTATTTACATTATTTCTTATGGGGAAAATTGATTGGCAAATCGTAAATTTCGTTTATAGTAGCTCCTCCAGGAACGGATTAATTACGAAAAAACGAGGGACCACTGTATATTTTTAAATATACAGTGGACTCTCAGTTAATTCCTTTAATCCATTCCAGAGAGCTAGCCTTTAACCGATTTAGCCTTTAACCGAATTAATTTTTCCAATAAGAATTAATGGAAATCCAATTAATCCGTTCCAGACACCCAAAAGTATTAAACAAAATAATTTTTTTGCATGAGATATAAATTTCCCTACACAGAAAACAATGATACATGAAGAATAAAACAATAATAACATCACACTTACCTTTATTGTGGACTTGTTGATGAGTGATGAGACGGGAGGAGGGCAGAGGATGAAGGTGTTCTATTGTTTGGAAGGAGAATCCCCTTCCATAAAGACTTCAAGTAACAAGTCCTTTTCTGGCTTGTGTCCTGGGAGTGCCTTTTCCTCCTGAGTAACGTAGGTCCTGAACATTAAAATGGTATAAAATACCGACAGATTGTTAGGTAAGACACATATGCAACAGTTAGGTATCTTTATTTCGAAACGTTTCGCCTACACAGTAGGCTTCTTCAGTCGAGTACAGAAAAGTTGATAGAAGCGGAAGATACTTGAAGACGATGTAATCAGTCCATCACCCTTAAAGTTTTGAGGTGGTCAGTCCCTCAGTCCCTCAAACTTTAAGGGTGATGGACTGATTACATCGTCTTCAAGTATCTTCCGCTTCTATCAACTTTTCTGTACTCGACTGAAGAAGCCTACTGTGTAGGCGAAACGTTTCGAAATAAAGATACCTAACTGTTGCATATGTGTCTTACCTAACAACGTAGGTCCTGTTTGGCATTTTCTTCCTAAACAGGCCTGTTTTGTCACAGTTGAACACTAGTTGGGGTTTTAATTTTTTCAGCCTCTATGTACCCCTTAACCCTTTCAGGGTCCGTCCCGTAGATCTACGGCTTTACGTTCAGGGTCCAAACCGTAGATCTACGTCATGAGCTCAGCTCACTCTGATAAACTGTGAGTGGTACATTTGGGCCTAGATATGAGAGAATACATCTATGTGTATGTGTGCACCACATAAAACAAGTCCTGCAGCACACTGTGTATAATGAGAGAAAAAAAACTGAAATCATGGTTTTTCGATTAAAACAGCGACTTTGCAGTGTTTTTTCGTATGTTTTTTATAGTTGTATTTGCAATTTCTTGGTCTCATTTTATAAAATGGAAGACATATTAAAGAAATAGAGATGATTTTGATTGGTTTTTTGCACTGGAAATGGCTTGAAACTGAGCTCAAAGTAGCAGAAATGTTAAATTTTTGCCGATATTCAAGAGTAAACAAAAGACCTCACACGTCTTTAAAACACGCCAGCTGGTGGTCTAATATGCAAATTTACAA